AGCTGATCGATTGTTGGGGTAAATGCTAAAGAGAGGCTTTACTTTTGTGCTAACTCGACTCAAATCATATTGTTCTCTCGCAAAATACTGACAAAATTAGGGATAAAAAAATTGGTCCCAAAAAATTTTGGGCATAGTGACGCCCATCAGAGTAGGGAACGGCAATCAATTTAAAAGCCGAAGTGTTCTTTTTAAACTAAAAGTCCTGAAAAGTTAACAATAACATGATCTCTGGACAAAGCTAGTCTGCAAAGAGTGGCTAATCGTTCAAACTCTGGATAGCTCAACCATTAAAAACTCTGGATAACGGACAAGAGCCAAATTTTACCATCTGCCTTTCTCTTGATCTTGAATAGTCTTTTTTCACATTTTTCATTGACCAAAGTTGAAAATTGTCGAACATGTGCCTCATAAAATGATTGCTTTTCTCTCATTGGCTTTTGAGTATTTGCCGATTGATCAACAACAATTTGATCAACATTCGTGAATGATTGTTTTTGAGTAAAGTTGAGACGTAAAAATACAATTTGATATTAAATTTCAAGATCAAAGCCAGATTTTGCATTTAAAGCAAACTTTTGTTGCTCAGTTTGACGAAAGAAAAAACGAGAAAGCTAGCTGTAACCCTGCAAAGATCTCGCCATCTTTTGCCGAGATCAATGACGTCATCGAGCAGATTTCCGACAGCCACAAAACGAACACGAACACCTGAAAATCTGCGAATAAAAAAAAAAAAAGAAGAGAAATCGTTAAAAGTTGCTCTCTAATGAGGGAAACTTGCCCTGTTTTCTTTGTGCATTTCTTACTTTTCTTTAACTTGTTTTTTAGATTTCTAAAATATACTAAGAAATTTATTTGATTTAAAAAAAAGATCCAGTAAGAAAGAAAGAAAGAAAGAAAGAAAGATCTAATCTAACTTTTATATTTAAAGATAACATAAAATCTTATCTATTATTAGTTTTACTCAAAATCTTTTAAATCTGGATTTTGGCTAAAAGAAAGACTTAGATATTTGACTTTTAAGACTTTATAAAGCCCTAAAAGACTTTATAAAGCCCTTTTAGACTTTAAAGTTACCGTAAATACTGTAATAGTACCCCATCCCCTCGTACAGTCGCGTAGCCGCAAAAGTTTTTTTAGTATTTAATTTTTTCAAAGCGATTGGAAGCAGTTACAAATCATTCTGAACAACTTTTATGCCAGTTTGCTGAGCAACAACACCGAGCCTTCAAGAGTTGCTCTATTTCCACTGAATTTAGAGGTGCGGGACCGAATTAAGAGGCTTAAAACCTACCGTAAATACTGTAATAGTACCCCACCCCTCGTACAGTCGCGTAGTCGCAAAAGTTTTTTAGGTATTTCATTTTTTCCAAAGCACCCGTACTTTCAAAAATGCGTTTTAGTATCAAAAAATAGCCCTGAATTTCAGCTATTTTTGATACCTAAGCGCGCATTTTAGCATAAACCAGTGTCGAGAAAAACGCGTTCAAAGCTAGACTACGAAACACTCCGCACCGTCATTATGGGGGTGTGGTACTATTACAGAATTTGACGGAGGTTTTGGATGAATATATAAAACTGTTTTTGTTTGTTAAAGAATTTAGACAATTTCAATGGTAAAAATTAAAGAAAATGATTCAATAAGGAAAAAAAAATTTGTTAAATTCAATGAATTCAATGAACCACCTAGTCCCTTAGAAATTCCCGAAATTTCCTCATCATTTAATCGTGTAAACAAGTTGATCGTTGCCAGCAAAGAATAACAAAACAAAGCCCTAAAATTGGCAATTCTTTTGCCAAAGTGCCAAATCCATAAATCTCTCCTCCGACCTCAGGTGTTCTGTTGTCGTTTGCGTCAAATTTTGCCCGCTTTTTTCCATGAGCTTTTCCATTCCATGAGCTCTCCCGCCGACACAATGACAGACCAACACACAGCTGTTCTTCTTCACTTTTCTTTCTTTTCTTGAACTCTATCGAGTTGATCCTTCCCTTTTCCCCTTCAACAATGGCCTCTAGAGGGTGGAAATCCATCCGAGTTCTCGATCTCCCTGTAAACGAAATCTTTCTCACATCCACTTTGTGAACAAGTTTCATTTTTATTTGTAAAATTTCATAATTTATATGGATTCATTGGATTTCCCAACAATTTCTGAAGTTTCATTGAGTCAAATCAGGGATTTTTCGATCCTCTGATCGAAAATCATTCAACCTTCCTTTTTCCAATTCATTGGGTAGCTGATGCCTTTTTTTCTGGTTCTAGGCCGGTTTAATTACCCAAGTTTTCCAAAAAATTAGATAATTCTTGTCTTTTTAATACTTTTTGCAATCTTTTTTCGAATTTTAAAAGTTCTGGAGCGTCTTTTGACACCAGAACCATGAAAATCGGCTGTCTGCAAAAAAGGTTTTCTTTAAGCTAAATTTAAAATAAGAATAACTTTTAAAATAACGTAGAATCAAGATATTTAGCTATCCGATGAACTATTTAAATTCTAATTGAGCTGAAAGATATTTAGCCTAACATATTAAGATATTCAGCTACTCTACAAGATCTGAAAGATAGGCACAGACACAACATCTTTATCTAATAATTTCTAGAAGTAACGTAGTCATTCTTATCAGAATTTCGGTCGGTTCTCATCCCCATCATCTTTCCCTTTATCATTCTTTTGCGAACCGTGTTAGTAGGGTTTGGAATAAGCTCCCGTCTGGTATCTTCTCGTCTGTAGGGAAATTGAAAGTATCTGTGATCTTATTGCCATGTCAAATCTGCCCTAGATTTAATCTTTTTGTACCTGTGTTTCCTAACTGTAGTCTTACTGTACCATTTTTAGTTTTCTTTCTTTTTTTTTGTGAAAGTATTGGCAGCAATATGTTATATGCGGTTATGATTATCTGATTCACTTCTATTCTCCACCTGAATAAAGCATATATATATAATTAAAAGATTGGTTTCCATTTTTTTTGAGTTTAATCTACAGCTTGGGAATTAATTAAGCTTTTAAACACTATTTTTCAGAGTCAAGTTTGAAATTGCTTCTATTCGCCCCTGAATAAAGCATATATATGTCGTAGCCGATTAAGGATTTCAGCGAAGAAGTCTCAGACTTCTTCGGCTAGCTGATGAAGTCTCAAATTTTTTCACTAGCGAAACCTTCTTCTGAGAAGTCTGAGACTTCTTCGGCTGAAATCCTTAATCGGCTATGACATATATATAATAGATGAGCAAATGATTTGAGTAACCATTTAGATTATATCATGGCTAAAAGATTTCATAAAATTACACTCTTCGTTATCTAGTTTTTAGAGTCATGAAAAGCATTTGACTTCACTTTTCAATGAGTTGGAACATTTCTTGAGTTTTCCGAACATGAGTTGGGCAATTTCCATTAATTTTTTTGCCTTTTGGCTTTTTTCCTGAAACGTGATCTTTTAAAAGTAGACATGGGCACTACAAATGTAAAGTATAGAACGCTTCTATCTTGATTCAAATCTACCCGATTGGCATGATCTATAGCTCGAAAATAGAGAATCTCAAGAGCTTTCGAATGGACTAAAGCACACTCAAAATATCAATGCTAGAAAAAGTTACAGTGGTTTGTAGCTTGACTCAAAACAGACCATACTCGCGCGTAGTCGAAGCGATTGAATCAGGCTTTAACTTTCTTTGGCATTGATATTTGAGGTGTGCTGAACCATTCGAGCTCTTGAGATTCTCTATTTTTTGAGCTATAGATCATGCCAATCGTAGAGTTGAATCGAATCCCAGAAGTGTTTATAATGTGGCTGTTCGTTATTTTTGTAGTTTATAGTCTAAGTCTTGTAGTCTCAATTGTACGTTCCACATTGCTTATTGGATCGGTGTTTGATTGTTCGAAGTGCTTCTTCTTGAAAATGATAGAACAAGCCGGTGTCTTTGTGTCGGATACACTGATTTTCTTTTGGTCAAAAGATCACGTTTCATAGAAAGAGCCGATCCGTTTTTATTGTGCAAATGTTTAAATGACTTTATGCACATGAAAATCGATAACGGAATGAGATTAGATTTCGACTCATTGATTTACCTATGAGCTACTGATTTTCTAAAGATTTATACTCGATGGGCAGCTGGCCGACGGGCTAGAAGTCTTGTTTTTTAAGCGGAAGGTTGAGGCTTCAATCACGCTGGCAAGATTAAAATGTTTCTTTTTCCCACCAAGTGGATTTTTTCTTTCACAACATTTGGGTAATAGGGGTAGCGACGACCGCAGTGCCATAAAAATTGTGTGTTTATGTCTTATTATTTACCGTATTTTCTCATAGTAGTGGCACCCTGAGCGTCGCCTAAATTTCTCGAAATCTCGAGAACCGCTTATCAGAAATTATCGATGTGGGGTCGGAAAATGTAGCTGACGATGAGATCTAGTGGAGGATTAGAGGGTTGGCTTCTTGGAAAAGCTTGGAAACCGTAAAATCGTCACCAACTCGGCTCGCCGGAGTGCACTACTGTTAGAGAAAATACGGGATTCATTAATGTTAATAGATTACGAGATTTTCTCTAACCTAGGCTTCCCCTAAGTTCCTCGAAATCTCGAGAACCGCTATCAGGAACCTATCAATGTGGGGTCGGAAAATGTAGCTGACGATGAGATCTAGTGGAGGATTAGAGTCTTGAGCTTCTGCAAAAGCTTGGAAACCGTAAAATAGTCACCAACTCAGTTCGCCAGGGGTGCACTACTATTAGAGAAAATACGGTATTCTTTGTTTGTATCACATTATTGGCTTTCAATAAATGAATTTTTAAAAATCTATTGATCATTCCTTGTTCCTGCCTTTTCTCATTGCAAAGTTTGTCCCCATTGCTCGATCTCTTCACTCCATTTTGTAATTTGATCTCATTCAATGTTTTAATGAATTATTTAGCTCGTTTCTGACTTTTAAATATTCAATTCAAAAATTCAGAAATAACAGAAATACTCTGAACGAAAATTTCTGAGTCGATAACTTTTGCTTCCATCAAAATCATGGGGCTACAATGGTTGATTGCAAAGATCAGTCCTGGACATCAAGGTGGGTACAAAGATTATGTAATAGGTATACTTTTTTGATATGTTATCTATTATCTATTGTCTATTTATTGTACATATTATTTTTTTTTGACTTTTTGATCTTCCCTCTCTCAACTTGAACATAATCCCATCGTTGAGTCATCGCCGCTTTTTGCGAGCTATTCGATATTCGGTGACTGATTGACATTTGAAACTAACTTTTTCTGATTACTCATTGAGCTTCGAACTCCCTTTGTCTCATTTCATTGTCTATAAACCTTTTTGACTCTTTTATTTATAAATTTGATATGTGACTCTAGTGAGCCCACAAAAATCAATGAAGTAATTCTTATCCATTTCTGAAATACAATTTATGTTATTCTACTTTTCGGGACCACAAAAATCACATGTACATTATAGAATACTTTGATTTTGATGGACCCAAAAACATATGTATGCAAAATTTATATTGTTTTGAGCCCACTAGAGTCATTTACCGTAAAGTTTGTACCCAAAAGCTCGACTCCTTCTTTCTAACCTTGAATAACTCTTTAAAGCTTTAAAGCTAACTTGATTTTAAAATTAAGTGCTTTTTAAAATCAAGTTTTCTTTAAAGAGTTGTTCAAAGGTTGTGCAACAAGGAGTCGAGCTTTTAAGTACAAAGTAAATGTGACTCTAGTGGGCTCAAACCAATACAAATTTGCATTGGTTTGAGCTCCAAATCATATCTGAGAAACCATTCGAAATTTGAGACCAATCTCAGCTTTTACTTTTTCTTTACACAAGTACAAATTGGATTTTTCGATTAGCTAAAGCTAAGCTAAGCATTCGATTAGCTAAAGCTAAATTAAGCATTCGATTAGCTAAAGCTAAGCTAAGCATTCGATTAGCTAAAGCTGCTTATTTGAATTGAATTTTGTGAAGAAAAATTGAATTTGAAGTAATCGGGTCAAGCTACCCACTAGGCTAGATTCAAAAGGCCTTCTTGACCTGGCTGGTGACTTGTGCTTGGCTAAAAGAGTCGAATTTCCAGGTCAAATAAAGCCAAAGCTGTTTGCTAGACGCTTGGTGATTACGCTGATCCACAGAAAAACACAAGATTCGCAAAAAGTATTTCAAAGACAGACTCGAACCCGAGCTTAAGTTACAAAGCCTTGGCTTTGTAACGCACTACCACTACACCACCGCGCAATGCCAAACTGTTTGCTTTGACATTGCTCCATCAGAAATGGCTCCACTGTGCTAACTAGCCCTAATATCGTTGAGGATAAAGAAACCCCATTGCCAAAATCTTACCAAATATTAAAAACACTATAACTACCGTAATCTTGGAGCTTTGCAGCTGAATTTTTAATATGTTGCTGCTCAAAGTCGATTCTACCTTTCCACCAATTTTGGAGGCAATCGGCAATACATTGAATTGGCTTTGGCTGACTTAGCACCATTCCCTAAACAGTAATTTAAAGTCGATTTAAAAGCAAAGCTTTGAAATCCATTTCCCCAATCAATAAGATTTCAAAGAGAGTTCGAAAACTGACCACTATTTCCCTGAAAATTCGAAATCCTCAAGTGGATGCTATCATTGAAAAAAAGAGAGAAAGGTGGGAAGTGATCTGTGAAGAGGTGGAAGGGAAACTCAAGAAAGCAGTAAAAATCTATGAAGAGATTCATGGAATTGGGTTCTCTTGGACGAAATCCCCATTTCTTTTACTATCTTTTCCATGTGTTTGTCGAAAATCTCGAGACAGTCTCCACATTCATTGGGGGATCTTCCCCCTTTGCCCTCTCTTTGCCCTCTCTTGCTCATCCCCCGAACCCATCATCGCCTCTTTGAAGCACTGGGCTTTTCTATAGAAAAATCATTTTTCTTTATAAATTATTTATTGCTCTAAATTCTATCATCAGTTCATTTAAATCATCTAAATTCTGAATTCTAAACTTTATCATTTAAACTCTACCGCTAACAGCTTCAATAAAAGCAGAAAAAATTAGCTCAGCTATAGGTTGATGAATTGAAAACTACGAGACTTTGAACTAAAAATTTATCCAACATAAAACCATCAATTCATTCCAAATAATTTCCATTATTATTGACGACTTCTGCCCATTTTACAGGCAATTTGCGGATTCCTCTTTGTGGTAGGATTTTGGTTTTGAATCGAAAACTTCGGCCAATTTTTGACTGCTTCTTCCGAATCGAAGTGTTCTCCCGCAAGCTCATTACTCATGATCCGGAATAAACAGTAATCAAAAGGGCGAGGTCCGGACTGTATGGGGAATGCGCCAAAAGTTCCCAAACAAGGCTATTTATTTTAGAGTGAGTCATTTTTGAATTGAAAGCGAGAGTTGGTGAATTGAAAACTGCGAGACTTTGAACTAAAATTTATCCAACATAAAACCATCAATTCATTCCAAATAATTTCCATTATTATTGACGACTTCTGCCCATTTTACAGGCAATTTCCGGATTCCTCTTTCGTAGTAGGATTTTTGGTTTGTGTGCGAGACAAGTGTGAGACTCAGAAATCGAGGACTGGAGATGTCCCAGTTTGAGCACTTTCTTCACTTTCTTCAAAGAAACCCATTTTGGTGCCAATAGAAAAGTTGCAGAGAATCAAAATTAGGCTTATAGCCAAATTCCAAAAAGATACACTTAGTAGTTTCGCTTAAAATGCAAGTTTTGTGAAAATTCGTAAATTTTGGCATTTCTTGAAAATCAGTTTTTGAATCGTTCTGAAAATTTGGATATAAGCTTGATTTTTGATTCTCTACAACTTTTCCATTGACACCAAAATGGGTTTCTTTTGAAGAAAGTGCTCAAACTGTCACATATGACAATAACCGGCAGTTTTCGATTCACCAACCCAATATTTATTAGTTTGGCAACTTGAAAGTTGGTAAAATATTTCGTATTTTCGTATAAAAACATATTAAATACACAAATTGAATTAGAATTCTCTAAATAAAAGTTATATATTATCTAATTTAAGGCAAATTTGGGTAACTTTTCAAAACAAATTTGAGCAGAAATTCAAGTTTTTTCTGAAAATTCTTCAAATGGAACTATAATAAAAACGATTGATTATATCTAGCTGAAAATTTGGCTATTTATCTAAATTGTTATGCTCTATCTTTTTCTATTAACATCAAAATCGGTTTCTGTGGAAGAAAGTGCTCAAATCGCTTTATCGAGTGTTCATCATTTTTGGTTTCTCAACTTCTTAACCCCAAGAAACCTAAAAAATCGAAGCTTTCTAAATCTGTCAAAAGCCATTTCTTAGAGACTAAAAAGCCTTTTATTTGGTAAAAACTGTCGTTTAATTCGTGCACTAGTTATTTCCAAAAGTGTAATGAATAAGTGTATCAAATTTCAAGTTTGCCAATCTAATAACTACCGTAAATACTGTAATAGTACCCCACCCCCTCGTACAGTCGCGTAGTCGCAGAAGTTTTTTAGTATTTCATTTTTTCAAAGCGATTGGAAGCAGTTAAAAATCATTCTGAACAACTTTTATGCCAGTTTGAGCAACAACACCGAGCCTTCAAGAGTTGCTCTATTTCCACTGAGTTTAGAGGTGCGGGACCAGAATAAAGAGGCTTAAAACCTACCGTAAATACTGTAATAGTACCCCACCCCCTCGTACAGTCGCGTAGTCGCAAAGTTTTTTAGTATTTCATTTTTTCAAAGCACCCGTACTTTCAAAAAATGCGTCTTTGTTATCAAAAAATAGCTGAAATTCAGGGGCTATTTTTTTGATACCTAAGCGCATTGTAGCATAAACCAGTGTCGAGAAAAACTCGTTCAAAGCTAGACTACGTAACACTTCGCACCGTCATTAGGGGGGGGTACAGTATTTACGGTAGGTTCTTTACCTCCTTGAAACCCATTATTCTTGTGCTTTCAATATATGAACTTTAGCACTTTATCTTTTATATATATTTCAATTTTCCTTTGGATTACATCGGCTTTAGCACTTTCAACGTCACAGCTCTTTCGACTTATTGTTACCTATCGACTTTCCCTGTTTTTGGTCCTCATATGTTTGTTATCAAAGATCCATTCTCAACTCTTTTTTTGTCAGTCAAATCCTTTTGTTTGATTGTTAGCAAATGCCAAAAATTCACCCAGTTATAATTCATAGATTTGTTTACGTTGAACTTTGGAGGATAACTTTAAAAGCCTTACGTGAAATGGAGTGAATACGGCGCGGAAATTTCGGGTCTACTGGAGACTTAGATGATTATGAAATCTTTTAAAAAGATTTTTTACATTTTTATAGTCATTTTCAAGAAGAGATAGCTTTTCAAAGTCAGATTTCCAAAGAGTTTCAATAGATTCGATCAAGGATCAAGAACTAAACGAACGAGTGACCTAAGGTTTATCAGAGTTTATCAGGGAGTCAAAGTCAGGTTTATCAGAGTCAAACCTTCTGATCTATTCATGAATTGAATGTGATTTTTGAATTATCTCGTCGCTTTTTATCTTTTTCTTTATATTCCTTATTTCCTCTCGACTTCTCTCTTCTCGTATTCTTATCCATTGTCATAGAGATTGGTGGTTGTTTCGATTCCTTTATTCTCTTCCTTTCCTCTTCCATTCCTCTTCGATTCCTCCTTGTCCCCCTCGTCCTCATCATCCATTCTGACACCCAAAAATTGGTCTTTTCCCCCTTTTCTTCTATTCATCGCTCAAAGTCATCTATAAATTCTTATCTAATTCGCCTTTTTTTATGAATCAATAGGAGCTTTTAAGGAAAAGAGTTACCGAGTTACCGGAGTTCAAGTTTTGTCTATGAAATTTTAACCTAGAAAAACTTATGTATAAGTCCTATATAAGTATAAGTCTTATATCGTCCTAGACTGTTGAAGTTCTCATTTCATATGCTCAGCAACATCTCGGAAATTGAGATTTAATCCTGTAGATCAGTAGTTTAACACAAAGGAAACTAGAAATCTCGTACTATGCCACAATACTTTAACTACTCCAAAATAACTCTATTTCTATATATTTTCTTTTCTTTTGAAAGGGAATCTGAAAAATGAGTCTGTACTTTGTGAACGAGCGCTTTCTGGCGCACTCCATTATCTCTAGTGTGCCAGAAGGCGTGCTTTATAGAGGCATAAAAGTACGGTAAGTATATAGCACACATTCGGATTGGATTGAAGCCACTTGGACACTGGCTTCAATCCAATCTGAATTTGGATTCTTTACACATTGAAACTGTTAGAATATCAGATCAGATCAGATCTATAGATCAAGTCAAATTGTAGACCTGTAGAATAGAAATCACTGCTAAAATCAAACCACCAAAGTACTCAAATCAAACCACCAAAGTACTCAAATCTCAAACTCAAGTACTCAAACTCAAATCTCAAATCTTTCTTTCTTTACCTTATAGTACAGTAGTACAGTACAAGAATAGTACTATCCAATTTTCAAAACACATCAATCTTCACTTTTCAATTGATAGGAATAATTGATTTATTAAGTTGTAAACTAAAAATAACCAAACTTTTTGAAAGGAAAAAAACTGGGTTAAATGATGATGGCTGAACCAAATAAGATCTAATTTCTCAGCAAGAATTCCTTTTACTTTTTACGTAAAATAAAGACATAGATTTTCTATATTTTCAGTCAAATTTTCAACCAAATCCATCCAGCCGTTTTTTTAAATTTTCATTTGAACAAAAGTTTTCAAATAAAGAATTTTGATCATAACTTTGCATATGAAAATTGTAGAAAACGGCTGAATAGATTTTACTGAAAAGATAACAGAGATTGATCTTTCTTTGGCACAGAAACCTAGGTTCATTTTCGATCCAAAAAGTTAGCAACAATCGATTCTCCCCAATTTTACCTACTCGCCTTTACGCTCCCGAAAAATCCCCCAAAAACAAAAGCATTTCTAAATTGCGAACAACGATTTTGCAAGAGAAAATATAGCTCTTTCTAATAGTAAAACCAATTTTTAATGAAAAGCCCGGCTATTTGGTTATCTATAGCTTTGATAGCTTTATTTAGTTACCTAATAGCTTTGATAGCTTTATTTATTTTAGTTACCTAATAGCTTTAAGATCTCAATCCACCCACAATGTTTTCTTTGACCGGATATTGAAACATTTGGGTCATCAAATCGTGGCTTTTTTTCTTTACGTCAAAAAAATCTTTCTAGCTTTCATTATTGAACAGTTGTTGCGTGAATGTGTTGCATTTTTTTCGCCTTTTCTTTTACCTTCTGCCTTTTCGCGATTTCAACAAATTGACGCTTAAGAAATTGATGACTTTGAGTACCTTTTTGTGAAATGAAAAGTGAAAATAAGCAAATTTTTGACCTGAGAAAGTTCGTGAGAAATTTGAGATCTGGAAATGGAGAACATTCTCTGGTATTTAGAAGTGAAACGGAATTTGTATACAGGATGAAATTTTTGATGAGAAATTCTGCTGTGAATCCACCGGCAACATTTCTCTATCAAAAAATTTCCTGACTCAACTTCGGCAACTCATTTAACAAGCGCTTGAATGAGATCTGGGCGGTGCCTTAAATGAGACTTAATCGAGTTTCTAGGGTAAAAGTAGTCGAATCGAGATCAGATTTGAGCGATGCTAACATTTTTGACTCTCAAAACGATTGCTAAAATGAATTGCAGAATGCTGGCAAGTTGACAAGCGTTACAATGATACAAAGGCTTAAATATGTTTTAAGAATTTAAGAAATTCTAAATATTCAATGAAATATTCAATCTTTTGATATATAACAAATGAATAAATTGATAAATTTGCATCTTTTGGCAGTAAATTTCCCGTAAAATTGGTTTCAAATAAAAAAGAAACATTAGTTGCTAGGGATTCATCTAATTCAATCTGATGATTGATCCAATTCAATCTGATGATTGATCCAATTCATTAGATTTTGAAAATTTCCCTTAAATCGATCTTCAATGAGCTGATTATTCTGAAAACTTAAAAGAATCTCTTTGCTTTTCGGCCTTTTCACTATTTTTTTTTCCTTCAATTACTCGAAAGCCGCTCGATAAATAAAGGATTTGCTAGGTTTTAAGTTACGCATCCGTTTTTGGAAATTTTGAAACAAAATCATAATTTACTTTTGTTTCTTCAATGATCTAAAGAATAGTTTTCTCAAAAAAAAATGAAAATTTAAGCACTTTACTGAATAAAATGCTTTGCCATAACTTCATTTACTGGTGTATTTTGTGCTCTTGGCCGTAAACGCACTCTTTCTAGTGCATTAAATTCTTCATTTTTCTTATAAAGGTGATTTAATTATAGAAAAGATGTCAAATAAGAGATAAAAGAGAAAATAAAGAATTCAATGCGTCAGAAAGGGCGCGTTTCCATTCTAGAGCAGTAAGTACACCAGTAAATGAAGCTATGGCAAAGCATTTTATTCAGTAAAGTGCTTAAATTTTCAATACGGTTCCAATACGGTTCTTTTAGATCCAATACGGTTCCAATACGGTTCCTTTTAGATCCAATACGGTTCCAATACGGTTCCTTTTAGATCCAATACGGTTCCTTTTAGATCCAACACGGTTCCAATACGGTTCCAATACGGTTCCAATTTATTTTATTCAGTAAAGTGCTTAAATTATTTTCATTTTTTGAGAAAACGATTCTTTAGATCATTGAAGAAACAAAAGTAAATTATGGTTTTGTTTGAAAATTTTCAAAAACGGATGCGTCACTTAAAACCTAGCAAATCCTTGATCTATTGCCAACTTTTAAATCTTTTATCATTGATCTAAAACCTAATTAAGCAAATTCACATACGAATTTAAATTCATTACAGTGATTTTTACAGATCTCGTGAAAGAACAACCGTTAAGTGAGAGTTCCACTCAATTAAACGCCTCCTCAAGCACTTCAAAGCCGGGAAACGACGGAGAAAACGGTAAGCTGAATACTTTTTACTAAAGATAAATACAGAATTCATTAGAATTTGTACTTCTTACAGTAATAGATTTAAAATTCAAATTTTAAGATCTCTCGTTTACTCAAAAGCGATCGCAGAATGAGAGAGAGAAATTTTTCGGGAGACCGCAATTTTGGCGGTGATTTAGGCTTTAGGCTTTTGATTACACTTTTTATTTTAAACATTTTTAACATTAAGTTTTATTTTTAAGCAGAAGAGGGTTTATTTGACGCTGAGAAGACACTCGATGAACTGATGGCTCAAGTGAAGATCCAACTTGATGACGACAAATTGGAGAATGGGGGAAATGAGCAAGATCAAGGGGTGAGGAGATACAACGGTTTTGAAATTCTACTTTCTGCGTAGCTGCCCAGCCAAACGTAATCGTTGGCCGTTCAGGACAGCTACGCAAGAAATTAGAATTTTTAAATCGAGAGTCAACTGTATATGGGAAAAGAGTCAAACTTTTTAGGGATTTGGGCCTGAACCATTTTCCTAGCTCTTATCTGATCTAATCTGGCTTACAATCTTAAAATTCAGCTGAAGCAATGATTAAAGTAATGATTATTTGAAGGTATCTTGCTTTCAGGTCTCTCGGCGTGGCTCCCTTGCTCGACGACAGTCAAATCGAAAATCTCTACGCACCACTTCTGCAATCGATGTCCTTCATCAAAATGGCGATGCAGGGAATGAGCCACATGTGGTTAAGGTAAACCGATTCGAATTTATATTTAGATAAAGGTTGCATCGTAATTCGATTCAACTTTACATCTTTTAGGCGAAGAAAACCCAATCCAGTCGCGAGCCTGGTCTTCGATCGATGCTTTATGGGCTCACTCAGAAACAGTTAGTATTATGAAAAGTTAAAAGTTAAAATTTAAATCATATATACTAAAACAGATATACAGTCGACTTTCTCTATAATGGAATGGAAGAGATCAACAAATGTTTCCGTTATACAGAGCTTTCCTTTATATAGAGCATTCCTTTATTTAGAGCTTTCCGTTATATAGAGCTTTCCTTTATATAGAGTATCGTTTTATATAGCTTAGCGTCGCCCGGGACCAAAATTCCATTCCGTTATATAGAGCTTTCTGTTATATAGAGTATCGTTTTATATAGCTTTCCGTTATATAGAGTATCGTTTTATATAGCTTTCCGTTTTATAGAGCTTTCTGTTATATAGAGCTTAGTGTCGGCCGGGACCAAAATTCCATTCCATTATATAGAGTTTTCCGCTATATAGAGCCTTCCGTTATAGACAGAGTTGACTGTAGATTTTAAATAAAAAAAGATTTCAATAAGAATATTTTTCAGGAAGAAAGAAGAGCAACAAGCAAGAAAACTGCTACGGAAGCAACTCGGTTGGTTATTTTTGGAAATGACTAAGAAATGCGAAAAATAACTTAACAAACTTATTGCTAAAAACTTAAAGTTAAAAGTTAAAAGCGTTTAAAGTTTTTTTTTTTTCAAAAACCAATCGTTGAACATATGGCAAAAATTCATAAAGAAATTTGAAAGCAGAGCGATTTTTTTTGAATATTTTTTCAATTTTCTATTATTTTTATGTTTTTGCTTGTTTTTAATAACTTGATTTTGTTATTTTATCGATTTTTTTTTTTGATTGTTTCTAGAAATGTTTCGTTTTCGAAATCAATTTGGACAGAAACAATGGGAGAAATGGAGAAAAACGCGTATGCTTTTAGAATTTTTCATGCAGAAAAATTTGATATTGTGTACGTAGAAAAAGACGAAAAATCTCGCTGGCTTTACGGGAGATTGAAGTAATGAATTTTGAAAGCGATTCGGAAAGAATCGAATCGAGTAAAGCGCCTAAAAGGAGTCAATCTAGTTTATTTTTAGTGCTTTAAATGTGCTTTTTGCTTTTTTTTAGTGCTTTTTGGAGTTGAATTTGATTCTGCTTTGTTTCAGCCTTGTTTCGGTTGGCTTTGGTTTATAAAAATTGCATAAAAATACACAAATTTGAGCCAAAATCTAAAGCGATTTGATCCAAAAAACGGTAAAAATGGCGAAAATGGTGAAAATGGCAGGGAAATGCCGAGATGGGGTGCATAAGACTTCTTCAGTTAGGCCAAAGTATCGACCGGTGGCGCAGTGGGTGGCGGGTTCGTATACAAAACGATTGCGTCATTTCTTTTGTTGGGTTCAATTCCGTCCTTGGTTTTTTTTCTAATTTTAAAGTTTCAACCATGAAAATTTGTTTCTTTGTGAGATTTAATGGTAAAAATTTGTTTCTCAGGGGTTTTAGAGTCGTAGAATCTATTGATAGAATGATAGGATCTATAGAATTATTTCATAATCGAATTGGCTTTGGGTTATGTTTGTAAGAAGTAAATTTCAAATTAATCTGGATTTTAGCTGAAAAAGCTAACTCTAAACAGCCAACATCATTTCAAATCGAATCGTTTTTGATTTATGAAAGTAAAACCTGAAAACCAAAGCAAAATCCTCAAAGCTAGCCGGAAGAAAAAGGCAAAAAGGAAAGCAAAAAGGAAATCAACTCAAAATGTATCTCAATTTGAAGCTAATTGTACTCCCAGAAAAGGGATTTCTCTGGCTAATCCCCATCTAAAAGCTCTTTTTGCTCTTGTTCTTCTGATTTAATTATTCAGCCTTTATTTTTCGTGATCTTTCACTTTTTTTCCCATAATCTTTTTCCCATTTCACACGATTTTCCTTATTTTTTTTCGGTTACTCTCAAAATGGCTCGAAACTAAATAAGAACACATAAAGGAACTAAAGAGGAACTATAAAGGAACTAAAGAGGAACTAAAGAGGAACTATAAAGGAGCTTTAAAGGAGCTTTAAAGGAACTATAAAGGAGCTTTAAAGGAGCTTTAAAGGAACTAAATAGGAACTATAAAGGAACTATAAAGGAGCTTTAAAGGAGCTTTAAAGGAGCTTTAAAGGAGCTTTAAAGGAACTAAATAAGAACTATAAAGGAGCTTTAAAGGAGCTTTAAAGGAACTAAATAGGAACTATAAAGGAACTATAAAGGAGCTTTAAAGGAGCTAAATAGGAACTAAATAAGAACTATAAAGGAACTATAAAGGAATCCATCGTGAATTTGCGAATTTTCAGCGATTTTAGGTAAGATTTTTAGAAGATTTTGAAGCAAATTTTTTTGCAAAATCTCTATTTCTTTTATTTTATATTTATCCGATTTTATTTCCTTTTTATTTATTGATTTAATTTTTGCTTATTCAATTCTTTTTACAAGGATTTACCTATATTTGAATGTTTTTTTTTACCTTTTTTTTACTTTTTTTGACTTTCTAATTTCATTTTCACTTTGTAGGTTTAAAATTTCCTTAAAATTATAAAGCTAAGCATTAAAATACCTCAAAAAAACAGAAACTACTAAAATTCCACTAAAATTCCATAGATAAGAGCGGTTTTCGCTAACAAATAGAAAAATGGATGGCAAACGAAGCCAATGCAAATTATACAAAAAGCGGGATCAGAAAAAGAATGAGCTACCAAGAAGCAGCATTTTTGGTCAGCGAAAGTTTTTTTTTTTTCCATCTCTTCTGACACTATCATACACAGCTGTGAAAAAGCATTGTGTGATGTTGAAAATCTCAAAAACGATTTTTCCTGTATGGCCAGATATATAGACGATGATGACGATGTAGAAATTGAAAATATTATTGGGTTGATGCATAATTATCCGGACTTCTTTTATAAATGATTTTATTTAACAAAAAATAACATAAATAGTTAGAAAAATATGTTTAATTGATTATTCTGGAGCATATTCACCGCCTACATCAATAACTGATTGCCATTTGCTTGGAAGACGATCGATTCCACGAGCGAAGAATAAACGATCTTTGGAGGCAATCCACGCTTTAACATCGTCTATCAAGTCATCCAAATCGTTGTAGATCTTATTTGTTTGCCAATTTTTGAGCGATCGATTGACGTGGTAGTCCGTTGGGGCTTCTCCAGTTCTTTGAGATCGCGAAACGACTCTGCGGCAGACCATCCCTTTTCGAAGTGGTAGAGCATGATATGGCGAAGATGGATATGATTGTCGACACGCATTTTGTTCACTAAAGAATAACGAATATTTAAAAAAAAGAAATAGACAAAAAGCTTTCAAAACAAAAAAGATACAAGCACGCAAAAAGAAGTCCGGATAATTATGCATCAACCCAATAGTTAAATTATTGTTACTTTTGTTGTTGTTGTTGTTGTTGTTTGGTTTTATAATAAATTAAAATATTTTAAAAAATTTTGGCAAAAATTAAACCGCTCTTATCTATGGAATTTTAGGGTAATTGATTTTTAGCTGTTAGAACAGAAACAAGGCCAGATTCAGGATTTTTGTTACCATCATTTTCTGATCTTTCTCATGAAACTGCGTAAATCCATTGATGAAATATTTATTGACCCTTTTCCTTTCTCTATTACTTTGATTATGATGGGATTGAGATTAAATTTCATCTACGTTCACTCAGAAAAAAAAGAAAAAACCCTCACAAAACAAAGGGAAACAACTAGAGAATTGCATGAGCTCTTGCAGTACAGAAAGAGCTATTTTTTTTAATCAATTGTCAATAAATTTACAAGGAAAAAACAAGATTTGCACACTTCAATAGCAACTTTTTCAGAATTTCTTGTCATATAGAATTTTCCAAGCAATCTTGTGACTGAAAATCGCTGAAAAGTTGCTGTTGTTACTCTAAATCTCGTTTTTCCATTGTACACCTATTGACAAACAGAAAAATGAAGAGTACAGAGAGGCATTTAGATCATTAAGATTCGAATCTTTTCCAGATATCATCTAGATCTAATTTTGATCTAGACCAGAGCATCTAGCTTTCCTCAGGACTACTTTTTTGTAACAGTTAAGCTTTTCCACTCATTTTCAGTGTCAATTCCAATTACCGTATTTTCTCTAATAGTAGTGTCTCTAATAATTTAGGCGACCCTGAGCGTCGCCTAAATTCCTCGAAATCTCGAGAACCGCTTATCAGAAGTTATCAATGTGGGGTCGGAAAATGTAGCTGACGATGAGATCTTGGGGGGATTAGAGTGTTGAGCTTCTGCAAAAGCTTGGAAACCGTAAAATAGTCACCAACTCGGCTCGCCGGGGTGCACTACTATTAGAGAAAATACGGTAATACGCCAATTGAATTCGACTTCTCTAAATAAAAGTTACCGTATTCTCTCTAATAGTAGTGCCCCCTGAGCGTCGCCTAAATTCCTTGAAATCTCAAGAACCGCTTATCAGAACCTATCGATGCGCGGTGCTGATGATGAGATCTAGTGGGGGATTTGAGTGTTGAGCTTCTGCAAAAGCTTGGAAACCGTAAAATAGTCATCAACTCGGCGGGATGCACTACTATTAGAGAAAACACGGTATCATCTTTTAAAAAACAAAAACCTTCAATCGTCAAAGCATCAAATCAAACCAAAAAAGGAAAAAAAAGAGAGATTCGTTGTGTGAGAGTTGAAATGTCCCCGGGGACTCGTTGAACGTAGGCTCTCCATGGCTTTTTTTTCGATCTTTCATCCACCGAGGCCGATTTTAAGAGGATAACTTTTCTGACGACAAAGAGATCTCCTAGATCTTCTAGCTTTTCTCTCTTTTCCCGGGGAATTTTCAGCTTTCCTTCACCTCCCACTTATCACTTCTCGAGCGCTTCCTTATTGTTGTCTTCTTTGGAATCGATATCTTCAAAAGTTCTACATAATAAAGTCATAATTTCTACATTATTAGTATATAATGTCATGCTATAATATCGACATCTAAATCCAATATTTATATTTTAATCGTAATAGTGTAATAGTACATTTTAAAAAGTACATTTTAATAAGTGAAATTGCATTTTTTTTAAACTATAATACCTTGAAAAATCAAGAAAAGTTACGAAGAATTTTCAGTTTTTAGAAGTCGATTATAATCTCGTTTCTATTGTCTCTAATATTTGAATTTAGAAAATTCGAGTCTCTTCCCTAGTTTCCCAGTATTTTGGATAAAAATCCGGGTATTTTAAAACGGGTCATCACTCTTTGAAGGAAGATTTTTGAAAGAAATCTAGTTTTTTTGGAAAAATCCGGGTATTTCGAACGAATCGTCACTCCTTGAAGCCCTATAACTTTGTCCAGAGATCATATTTTGCTTAACTTTTTATATCATTGTACAGAGGACATTTCAGCCTTTCAAATGACACTAAATAGAGCTTGATTAGATCCAGGAAAAAAAAAAATAATAGAATCCAAGAAAATCAGAGCCAACTCCAGCCTATCCAACTCGCTTTGTTTGTATGAGAATGAAAAATCCAGTCAAAATCTATTTCAGTCAACTCTATTTGGTGTCATTTGAAAGGCTGAAATGTCCTCTGTGCAATGATATAAAAAGTTAAGAAAAATATGATCTCTGGACAAAGTTATAGGCCTTCAAAGAGTGACGATCCGTTCGAAATACCCGGAAACTACGGAAAAGCCAAATTTCCTTATAGCTATCAAATATCACAATTTCCCATAGAATTTAGCCATGATTTTTCTATTTTCTTTGTCGAGTTGTAGTTTTTTTTTCATTTTTCGCAAGGTTTTGCCACTTCAAAAGTAGAAAATAAAGCTAAATTCAGAAAATTCAATGATAAACGAATGAAAACGATAAACTAAACAATTATACTCATTCGATTGCCCTGAATCTCCTTGAAAACTTGTACAAAATTACAAAAACTTTCTGCAAAATAAAGAAAAAGTCTTTAAAAACTTGAGTTGACATGAAAAAATGATCGTCATTAGTACGATTGCCATTAGTACGATTGCCATTAGTACGATCGTCATTAGTACGATCAGTCATTAGTACGATCGTCATTAGTACGATCCACCAAAAATAAGTGTACGATTTATTTATTCTATTTATTCTATTTATTCTATTGATTCTAATGTGTTAAAAGTATAAAGTATAATTTCTCTGTATTTTTTAGATCTTTCTAGTATCTAGTGCGGCTTTTCCGTGCTGACCCATCCTCCCCTCTCCCGTCAGCCTCAGCTTCTCCCATTCTGATGCCCTTCTTTACCCTTTCCCCCCTTGCATTCTATTCTTCTATCCATCCATTCTTCCAGAGCTTTTCCTTTTCTCTTTTTTTTTCTTCTTCCAACCGCTAATTGGAGGGTGTGGATGAAAGAAAAGTCAATACGTTGCACATTCGATAAGAAAAAAAGCGTTCTTTACCACAAGTTACCGTTTAGGTTTCCTGATATTGTAGATTTATTGTTTACCTAGGTATATTGTAGCTTTATTGCTTATCTAGATATATTGTGAATTTATTGCTTATATATGTATATTGTAGCTTTATTGTTTATCTAGATATATTGTAGCTTTATTGCTTACCTATGTATATTGTATATTTATCTCTTATCTAGCTTGCTTTGAACATATCTGAGCTTTTACTCAAACTACAGTTTCCTTAATCTGCACACGATCTCAACTTACTGAGATCTCCTTCATTAAAATTGCTCCTTTTCAATAGAGTTGAGTTTTGGCTGATTTCGAGATAGATTTTGAGAGCTTGCTCCCTAGATAGATATCTAGATATCTAGCTATCTAGCTTCTTAAATATTCAGTCCATATCAATAATGTAGATTAAAGGGAACTCGTCCTCTAGTTATTTTTTTGCAGTATTTTGCCACACAACCTATAGCCACAAAAGTTATGGCCTCGATTTTAATATAGCTAAAGATAAGAGAAATTTTTGCATAAAACTAAAATTAAATTTGAAATCAACATTCAAAAACGTAGCTACAAGATGCCAAAAAGCTTGGACAGCAAGCTTTCAACATTTTTTTATTTCTTTTCAAAGTGTGGGCCAGCTTTGAGTTGCTTGTACAGCTTACAAAGTCTAGAAGTTTGTTTAAACAGATCAAACATTTAAATGTGATCTCTTCTACGTCTTTTGACGAACTTTTGGATTCAACTTGTTTCAAAAGCACTAAATCTGACACTCTCTTACCCAACTCATCGTCAGCAAATGAATCAAGAGTTTATAGAATAGTTGAATACTTTGACTTCTCTCTTTCAAGCTCTCCCATTTTCTTTCCTCATTTCATGCATTCTCCACAAAGTACTCTTGTTTTGGAGAATTCATGGAAGAATGCATTGTCGTCAAAAGGATGATGCCAAGCATCCAACGAGGCTGTGTTCAACGGCGCTGTGTTTAACTGAAAGCTCAATTGAAAGCTCAATTGAAAGCCCAATTGAAAGCTCAACTGAAAGCTCAACTGTTTATATTTTTCGATGAAAAGCTAATGGATTTTGAATGCAGAATCAAGAGTTGATAGAATAGTTGAATACTTAGACTTCTCCCTTTCAAGCTCTCCCATTTTCTTTCCTCATTCCATGCATTCTCCAAAAAGTACTCTTGTTTTTCTTTTTGACAACAAAAAAAAATACTTCTCACCGAGAGAAACCTTTTTTTTTTTTGTTAGAAATGTGATGGTTTTAAGGAAGGAAACTAAATTTAGAAAGCCATCTTTTGCAAATTGCAAATTTGCAAGAGAAAAGAAACTCTATTCTATTGAAATTCTATTGAAAAACAGTGAATAAAATGAGAATTTTTCATAAATAGTTAAAAGTTTAAAGCTTTAGAAAATAAAGCTTTTCTTTTCTTTCTTTTTCCAATCTATTTTAAGCTTTAAAGTTCTATCACCATCATTTTTTTGTTTTCAAACCCGGGTGAGATGGGAAAAAGATGGAATTTCTAGAAAAGCAGCTATTATTTATCGTTTTTTTTTTCTAGATTCCTTCTTGATTCATTGTTTCAATGTAAACAAAATCTGTTTAACTTTATGAAAACACTCTTCCCGGCGCACTGAAGCTTTCATCTGTGACTTTCATCGTTAGAAATGATGCGTTTAAATTTTTAGAGCACAAAGTATAGCTGGATTTTCAAAACGCACTCTTTCTAGTGGATAGCTTTGATTTTTGAGAACTTGAGTGTGCCAGATGTTCGCACAAAATCCATTTGATAAACGAAAGAATAAAATCTTTGAAATCTCCGATCCTCTCTTTTTTTTCCAATCTATTTTAAGCTCTAAAGTTCTATCACCATCATTTTTTTTGTTTTCAAACCCGGATGGGATGCGAAAAAGATGGAATTTCTAGAAAAGCAGCTATTATTTATCGTTTTTTTTTCTAGATTCCTTCTTGATTCATTGTTTCAATGTAAACAAAATCTGTTTAACTTTATGAAAACACTCTTCCCGGCGCACTGAAGCTTTCATCTGTGACTTTCATCGTTAGAAAGGATGTGTTTAAATTTTTAGAGCACAAAGTATAGCTGGATTTTCAAAACGCACTCTTTCTAGTGGATAGCTTTGATTTTTGAAAACTTGAGTGTGCTAGTTGTTCGCACAAAATCCATTAGATAAACTCGAAAGCCTTGAAAGCCGAAAGAACGAAATCTTTGAAATCTCCGATCCTCTACCAATCATCCGTCATCTCAACTATTCATCCCTTTCATAAATATCAATTTTTCATGTTTCTTTTTCTTCTTCTGTTTCTTTTTTTCATGTTTCTTCTGAGTACTTTGAAAATTGCTCGTGAATATCTTTTCCTCTTTTTGTTCAGTATGGAATGGAGGAACGGAAGTGGATCTCGGTGTCGGCCTCTCTTGAAGTGCCCACATCATCAGCCAATCATTCAACCATTCCATTCACGCCCACCTTTTCTCAATCTATAGGTATATAAGATTTTGTATTAAAAATTGCAAATTTGGTATCAGATTTGCGTTTTTTTTTTTTCGTTATTCATTTTTGAAATCATTTCTCTGTAGAATCCCAAGTGCCGCTGAAGAAACAATTGCTAAAAGTGAAATCGATCGACTACTCGCAATCACCGGTGAAACGAGTCCTCATCGGTGAGTCGATTATAATATTTTAAAGGTGTCAAAAAAGTCTAGAGCTTTTTTTCTTATTGTTAAATCAACTATTGCCGACTTTTAAACGCCGTATTCTCTCTAATAGTAGTGCATCCCGGCGAGCCGAGTTGATGACTATTTTAGGCTTCCAAGCTTTTGCAGAAGCTCAACACTCAAATCCCCCACTAGATCTCATCGTCAGCTACATTTTCCGACCCCACATCGATAGGTTCTGATAAGCGCTTTTCGAGATTTCGAGCAATTTAGGCAACGCTCACTATTAGAGAAAATACGGTAAGCCAACTGTTGCTCAGGGATTTAAAAGTTTAAAATACCTGGATTCTCTAATGTAATCAAGCTCTTTTTGCAAATAAAGCTTTACGCCCAGCAATTAGCATTTATAGATCTTGAATTTCTAAGCTACTACAGATGTTAGGCCTGAGGTTTACATATTAGATTGGCTGAAGTCTTTAAGCACTTTTTTTTCTAATTCTGTTTATAAATAAAAAAATTCACCAATTGAAATATGGTTTGCTTTAAATAGAAGCCGTTTATTAAACATTTTTCTATCTTTTTTCGCCAATCTGGGCCCATTTCTAAGAAAATCCGAGCACAAAAACTTGTTTTTAAGTAAAATTCGATAATAGGTGATAGAAAGGAATTGGCTGAAAAGATTATTCTGAAAATTTGACGATAAACCTAACTTTTTGCGCTCTTTCTTTTTTCTATTGACACCAAAAGCGGTTTCTTTAGACTAAAGCGTTAAAATCGTGTATTCAAGTCGCTCTTTTTGATTAACCGAGTTCCCACCTTCGATCAGAAACAAAACATTTATTAAGATTTCCATGACCTTTCATAGAAAAATATTAGGCTTTCCTAATGGAGCAAATCGTAGAACAGTAGGTAAATTGATTATTGACATTGACAATTGACAAATTGACAATTTTTAAATGAAGACAAAGACTTATCGGCAAATCTAATAGTTAGATCTGGATTTGAAAAGACTTCCAAACTTTCACCCTTTCAAATTTCAGCTCTTTTTTCAACCCAGGTTCAAGAAATTTAGATGCAGATTCACCCTATTTACAATAACAAATCAAAATCCATTCGCTTTTCATCTTTCATTTCGCCTAAGCCCAAGCCTAAAGCCTAAGCCTAAGCCTAAGCCTAAGCCTAAGCCTAAAGCCTAAGCCTACGCCTAAGCCCAAGCCTAAGCCTAAAGCCTAAGCCTACGCCTAAGCCCAGGTTCAAGAATTTTAGATGCAGATTCACCCTATTTACAATAACAAATCAAAATCCATTCGCTTTTCATCGGAAAATATAAACAGTTAAACTTTTAGCTAAACTTTCAGTTGAGCTTTCAGTTGAACACCGCGCCGCCTCGTTGGATGCTCGGCATCATCCGTTTGAAGACAAATCGTTAGACGAAGGAGGAGAAAACCAAATAACAACGGTGACAGAGGAAATCGGATCAGAAAAGCCGAGAAAGTGCTCAAGAAAGAAGCGGGGACCAAGAAGGGCGGATGGGGCCAGGGTGAGGGCCGCCACATCGTCTCCCCATCCGAGAAGTCCTCTCCCCAATCACCTCTCCAATCATCTTCCCCATCATCTTCCCTCTCATTCACCGTCTATCCAAGCATTGCACTCTCTTGCCTCATCAGCTGCCGCATGTCGTCCAACCGAGATGAAGAAAAGCTTCTCCGATTACATTCTCGGATGTGAGTTCAGCAATTTCCTTTAATCATGTGATTTTTAGAGGAGTTGATTTAAGGGAGTTTGATTTGAATTGAAGAAACGATTCGATCAACATTAAAATCTATGAATTTCTGGTTTACAATTTCAGTAAAAATACAGTGAACTAGAAAAGATGTTTTTCAACTTTTTAAGCACAAAGCGACCATCTCCAAATCTCAAAAAACTTTCAAAAATTCACTAAAACTTTGTTCCTCAAAACTTTGTATAAACAAAGTCTTTCTTTTCTTATAAACTTTCTTTTCAAATCTCTATAATTCTCCATTCTTCACCACAAATTTCTCCTTTCCTTGGGAAGGGAAAAATCGTATGCAAACTCGATTTGAATTGACTTCTCCATCTCTAAAATATGACTTGGAAACTAAAAATTGGGAAAAAATGACTTAAAAATTATGTTTCTTGTGAAAAAAAAAGGATTCAAGAACATCTAAAAAGATTTGAAGAAAAGGAATTCGATATAATTTCATCGCCTTTTTCTCAAAAGCGGCTCAAATTACCCGTGAAAAGATCATCATCACTGAATATTCTCTTGAAAGATTACCTTGAAAGATTTCCCTTATCTATTGACCTTGAAAAAATGGCTTTCAAACTCCCAGTGAACTTTGTAATTTGTACTTTTTCTTAAACGTAAGCTTTCTGGCATAATGTCTCTGAATTGATCTTTTCTTTATCGTAATTTTGTCTCTAACTTAGCCAATTCTAAAGGTGATAGAAAGGAATTGGCTGAAACGATTATTCTGAAAATTTGACGATAAACCCAACTTTTTGCGCTCTTTCTTTTTTCTAGTGGCACTAAAAGCGGTTTCTTTAGACTAAAGTGTTAAAATCGTGTATTCAAGTCGCTCTTTTTGATTAACCGAGTTCCCACCTTCGACCAGAAACAAAACATTTCTTAAGATTTCAATGGTCTTTCATAGAAAAATATTAGGCTTTTCTAATGGAGCAAATCGTAGACCAGTAGGTAAATTGATTATTTCTAAATCAATTTTTAAATGAAGACAAAGACTTATCGGCAAATCTAATAGTTAGATCTGGATTTGAAAAGGCTTTCAAACTTTCAACCTTTCAAATTTCAGCTCTTTTTTTAAATTTATCTTTTCTTTATCGTAATTTTGTCTCTAAATTAGCCAATTCTAATTCCTCCAATTCCAATTCCAATTCTTCTAATTTTTCTTTCTTTCTTTGTAAAAAGAAGCTGTCTAAAAGTAGATAAATTGGATAAAAATAGAGCGGATTACGGTAGCTTTTAAAACGTTTTAGAAAAGCAATTGAGAGGCTGCGCTCTATGCACTAATGCTTAAGCTTCTATGTGTACTTTGTGCAGAAACGCAGAAACGTTTCTCTTCTAGCGCACTCAACTCTTCGCTTTCTCATAATGAACAATTATTGGCGAAATGCTGACTAAATAAAAAGCAAAGAAGCAACAAAAAGAAAGGATGCGTTTCTATTTTTCTAAGCTCGTAAGTGAAGACTTGGACTTGGACTTGACTTGACTTGACTTGACTTGTAAGGACTAAATTTTTACTATAAGTTTGTGTTTTGTTTTAAGAAATCCATCACGTAAAGCCAAAAAAAGAGAAAAGAATGACTGAATTCCTTAAAAAGTTTCAAAAAACCAACAATTTCCTTTTTTCCTCTTTTACATCAACGCAATCCATTGTTGTTTCTTACTTAAAGAATATCCAAAAAAAGGGGACCAGGAAAAGCTTGAATAAAGGAACAAAGACTAGGAGAAAGGGGAAAAGAACAATGGATGAATGTGCGTGTAGAGAGTAAGTCCGAGCTCTTCTACTTCATCACCAGGCAGGTACTTATCCGTGCAGAATTGTTGAGGTGAAAAGCCCTCTCAGCTGATTTCTTTTGTTTTAAAGTCATTTTTCTAACTGCAAAGTACACTACATCATTTTAAAGGTTATAAGATGTTTTAAATCTCATCTTTTTTCCCAATTTTTGCTTTAATAAAGTAAGGAATGGCAAGATTTTCGGAATTGGATTGAAACTTTTGCTTTTGCAAAGCTTTTGCAAAGCTTTTGCTTTTTACTTTTCGACCTTTTCCTTTCCGGCAATTGATAGCTAACCACTGAGCTATGCGGTAGCTCTGCTATGCGGTAGCTCTGCTATGCGGTAGCTCTGCTATGCGGTAGCTCTGCTATGCGGTAGCTCTGCTATGCGGTAGCTCTGCTATGCGGTAGCTTCTCACCAGAGAAGAAAGAGGGAATATATGGGGAAAGAGAAAGGAAGAAAGAGAAAGAAAGAGAGAGAAAGGAAAGAAAGTAAAAGGAAGAAAGAGAACGGAAGAAAGAGAAAGGAAGAAATAGAAAGAAAGAAAGAGAAATGAAGAAAGAGAAAGGAAGAAAGAGAAAGCTCGAAAGTAAAGAATAAGCTCAACAATAACATTAATTGTAAAGCTGAATAATCTGTTTTTTCAAATCTAATTTTAAACTCAACAATAAGCTAACAATCACTTTTAAATCTTAAGTTCTAATTTTTCTAATAGCCTTTCTATTTCTAATAGCCAGAAGCCATCACTTTACCCTATCAAATATCTTTAGAAGCCAGAAGCCATCAATTTACCCTTTTCTAAAGAATGAAACAATTTCCAGACTAAAAATAAGTCTAATTTAGCAAAAACTTGGCATTTTTTCTCAAAAACTTTGATCATTTTTGCAGGTTTCATGTTGAAATTTCCTTTCTCTTTACCATTTTTCCCCGTTTTCCAGTTGATATGTGATCCGTCTAGCTCGTGGAGTTGAAGGAGTTGAAGGAGTTGAAGGATCCTTTGAGCATTCCAGATCTCCATTCCAGCTATTTCCTTCTATTTCAACAAATGCGCAAAAACTCAAAAAAACACATTTGGACACTGTTCGCTTGTCGAAGAAAATAGCGGCTAGATGATGGAAACGTTTTCGAAAAACAAAAAGATACGAGGTGAGTGATTGACTCTTTCAAATTTTCTGTGTTACTTCTCGAGCCATCTATAACGGATTCTAAAGCTGGTTTTCTGTAGAAATGATTAAAGGAAATCAGTTTATGTGATTTTATTCGTTATTAAAGGATGAAAACAGCTTTTCAGCTCTCTTGAGCTCTTGCAATCTTGAGTAGTTTCGCTGGTTTTTGTTTGCGGGATCGGATCGTTTTGGTCGGAGCGTATTGTTGTCTCAATTCTGATTTATTTATGGTTTAAGTAACACGTTATTTAGTAGGTTTAAGTCCGTAACATCATTAAGTAAAACAATTGGTTCAACGGGATCAACGATTTATAGCAAAGAGCAGTCAAACTTAAGGAAATCCGACAAAATTAGACATAGTTACACGCAAAATGGTGAAGTCCGTTTAGCGCCCATTGCTTTAAGATTGACAAATGGGAGCAGCTATCTATTGGGGGCTTGTGCAAGGTGGAGTGCGATTGCGGGCGCGCACAAAGAACATCTCGCCAGTGAACATCACCAGGGAGGGAAATGGGAGCAGCTATCTATTGGGGGCTTGTGCCAGATGGAGTGCGATTGCGCGCGCGCACAAAGAACATCTTGCCAGTTGATCCCAGTCATTTTTCTTTTGCTCTGTAAATGATTCCCAAACGATTATTGTTAAAACTATGATAGCTTTTCTGAAGATTTTTGAAGATTTTATATCATTGAATATGCTAGTGTTTCTTTAAAGAGTTTTAGGCGTACGAATTGGTACTTTTTACCCTTTTCCCCTAGAGAGCAAAAGATCTTTCCTAAAAGCTAAAGGAAATGCTTTCAAATGAAGAAACCCTTTAATAGAATAAGGTCCTTTCAGTTCCCTAAAAAGCGTTTCCCAATTTCTCTAATTACTAACCCTCACTAACCCTCATTTTCAAGAAAAAAACAAATTGTTTCTGAAAATTTTCTTTTATATTAGTGTTCTTTAGAAATTTTTCATTTAGTTTTCGATGGGGCTTACGGGGAAAAAATAAACAATGAGCTTGTAGAAGAAAATGAAAGACTTGAGCATTTTTGAATCGCCTAAAGATTGGTACTTTATTCAAATTCTTTTATTTTAAAGCATTGAAAAAGCCGTTCAACTATTTTATATACTCTCAAAAGTTGAGTACAATATTTTGACTCTAGGAAAAGCCAAGATCTCATTCAGCTTCAGATTCTAAACTTGTATTCAAAAATATCTAAAGCCAAGCCCAAGCCTAAGCCTAAGCTCAGCTCTTTTTTAAACCCAGGTTCAAGAATTTAAATGCAGATTCACCCTATTTACAATAACAAATCAAAATCCATTCGCTTTTCATCTTTCATTTCGCCTAAGCCTAAGCCTAAGCCTAAGCCTAAGCCCAAGCCTAAGCCTAAGCTCAAGCCTAAACCCAAGCCTAAGCCCAAGCCTAAGCTCAAGCCAAGATCAAGCCAAGATCAAATCAAAGGAAAGCCAAGATCTCATTCAGCTTCAGATTCTAAACTTGTATTCAAAAATATCTAAATAACTTGTATTCAAGAATATCTAGATGCTAAACTTGTAGCTAGATAAATAAAAGCAAGGCGAACCCTGGCAAGGCTATAAATCTCACCATTGATGCATGATGTTTTAAAATATTGGGTTGGTGAATTGAAAACTGCGGGCTATTGTCATATGTGACAGTTTGAGCACTTTCTTCAAAAGAAACCCATTTTGGTGTCAATTGAAAAGTTGTAGAGAATCAAAAATCAAGCTTATATCCAAATTTTCAGAACGATTCAAAAATTGGTTTTCAAGAAATGCCAAATTTACGAATTTTCACTAAACTTGAATTTTAAGCGAAACTACTAAGTGTATCTTTTTGGAAATTTGGCTATAAGCCTGATTTTTGATTCTCTACAACTTTTCTATTGACACCAAAATGGGTTTCTTTTGAAGAAAGTGAAGAAAGTACTCAAACTGGGACATCTCCAGTCCTCGATTTTTGAGTCTCACACTTGTCTCACACATAAACCAAAATCCTACTACGAAAGAGGAATCCGCAAATTGCCTGTAAAATGG